TCCTTCACAGTTTTAATTGTTTTCTTTTTAGTCACTTTTTTCTTTCCACCCTCAACGACTGTAGTCATTTTTATATCTACTGATTCTAACTCTTCATGGTCAAAGTCTGCGTTATCAGAACTTGGCTGTTTAGTTATTGGAGTATGTGTAGCTTTCGTATCTATGAATTCAGTTTTGTGTGGCTTTAGTTCTAATAGTGTCACATCGTCTTTCTTTTTAAATATTTTCTTGTTTATTTTGTGTTCTTCTGTGTGCGGAGTTTTATCTGTGTGTGGTGATGTGTGATTTTGTGGTTTTTGTGTCACCGTTGATGTTATTTGTTCTCCGTGTAGTGCTGGCAATATTTCATCTGTAATTTTATTTCAAAAATGTGTTTATGATGATGTGTCATTTACTTATATCATTTATGTTCCTTATTACTATTATATGTGTGTGTATTAATGCTTTATATTACTAATATTATATATTATTGACGTATATATTTTGTTAGTATTTTTAAGTTGATGATTAGTATTAGCTTGATTGTTTTAATTTTGTTAATTTTTTTTAAAATTTTTTTTAAATGTTTATCGTGTCGTGTCTCATTTTTTATTTCTGTTTTATTGCATGTGATTTTATTTTTTAAGTTATATTTATTGTTATTATCCGTGTTTTTGTGTTGTATTTATTTGATATTTTTTATTTATTATTTATCTTTTAGCCTGCAGTTTATTAATGATATTGAATTACTAGGTACTTGTCTGTTCTTTAGTTTTGATTTCTTATAACAGCAAGTATGCTAACTACTTTATTTAATTATCAGTTTTCAAACTCTTTTATTTATTTTTGTTATTTACAGAATGAATTTTGATCATTCGTAGTTACCATATTTTTCTAACTAATACATTTGTATTTTTTTTTACCTGTGTTCTGTGGTATGTCAGTGATTGATGCTCTTTGATGGTCTTTCTCTTCTGGTTTTAGTGTTACTGTTGTTTCTAAGATTATGTCTTCGTTCACTCTGATACTATTATTTACTTGGGGTTCAAGTTGTGATGCATAGCATTCAATCGTTTTTTGTTCTTTGGATAGTATTGGTTGTGTCTCGGATTCTATTTGATTTGATTCTAAAGGTAATAATTCTAGTATCGTTGGAGTTATATTGATTTGAATTGGGTTCATTTGTTTCATATTCGATTCTGTTTCATTTGTGACTAGTTCTTGTATTGTTAGGTGTTGGAGTTCATCCATATTTATCTTGGCGGCAGTATCGGGAACTATATTTGGTACCTGTAGTTCGACAGCATTTGATAGTAGTTGTGCTTCTGTCGTCACTAGTGATTTTAATTCTTCTGTAGATATTGATGCTTTTGATTTTCCTCTTATTTGTGGTTTAATAAATTCATTTTCTTTATCATTACTTATCACTTCTGAAACAACTGCTCCCATTTTTGCTGTTTCAATTGAAACTGATGCATTAGTTGTTGCTGGTTTTGGTTCAGATTTTGTAAATTGTTCTTTTTCATTCACAGTTTGCTCATTTTGTATTAAACTTTCAAAATTTTCCGTTACAATTTTAGCATTAGAATATTTTGTGTCTTTTAGTTTTAAATTTTCTTCTTTGAATTCAGGGAATATATTTGAAACTATAATTCCGGACTGAGCATCTTCAAATATCACATTTGCAATTTCATCTTTTGGAATTTCCATACGTAAAGTACCTTCTTTTTCAGAAACATTTTGTTCACTATTTGTAATTGCTTGTAAATTTTCTGAAGAAATTTTTGCCACTGAACTTTTGCGTATTGGTTCTATAGTAAATGCAGTCTCTTTATGTTCACTGGCTACATTTGAAATAATGATACTAGATTTAATTTCTTCTAATGAGAGTTCTGCATGTTGCAAATCAATTTTTTTTAATTCTTTAAGTTGTCCTTCTTTTTCAGATACTTCTGGTTCTGTTGTTATTATGTTTTCCAATGTTCCAGTTTTGACAGATGCTCTTTCTTCGATACATGTGGGTTTTTCATATATACCTCCAGATTCTGAAATATCAATCTCTGTTTGTAATATGCTTTCAAATGTTGAATGGATTGCACTTGCTTTGCTATATTTAGGTTGACTCAATTGAGGTAATTCTTGAACATTCATGCTAGTGACTATTTCCGTAACATTTGCAACTGGCTGTGATATTAATTTTGGAATAGTAGCAGTTTCTGTATTTTGAATAAAAGTAACGAAATCTTTTTCAGATTCAACAACGTTTGCTTCAGTCACCTGAATATTAATATTATTTTCAAATGATACATTTAGCAATTGTTCTTCCGGAACTATTGTTGATTCGAGATCCATTTCAGATTCATTCAACGTAACTTCCGATATTGAAACACCATCAAATAATGACTGAGTTAATGATGCCTGTTTATTTAAAGGTTTTATTGTTATTAATGGTAGTTCTTTATCATTTAAGATGGTTTCAAAGACGTTTATTGATTTATCTTCTTCCAATTTAACTTCTGCTGTAAAATTGTCGAATTTTGGTTTTTGAGTAAACAGTTTTTCTTTTTCTAACGCATTTATTTCAGTTGATATCGCTGTGTCATGTAGCTCTGATTGAGAAACCAATGCATGATCATTATCGATGACAGGAGTCAATACATCACTAGTTGTAATTGATGAAATAACTTCTAATACCTGTGGTACTTCATGGAATTTTGATAAAGATGTAATAACTTGTTGTGATTTCTGTTCTTTTTTGATATGTAACTTTTCATCCTTATGATCTGTTATCACTTCAGTTATAATCAAGCTATTGTTAGGCATCATTGTAAGTTCCGCTTTATTTGAAAGTAGTTCAACAGGTTCAAGATATTTTTCACTTTCCTGTACAGTTGTTTCAGTTTGTGATACTATATTCGTATGAGTATCGAGTACAATATTAGCCGATTCTTCTTTGTTTTTAACCTTATCTAATGTTCTTAGATGTTCATTAGCAACTACAATAGATGTTTTAGCTGCTTCATTCGGTAAAATAGATTTTTCAGCAGTTTTTACTGTTGGCATTTCTGGAGAATTATAATTTCCTTCTTTATCTTCAACGATTACTTCAGTTATATTTACGCTTTTTGATTCTTCAATATTTATGCCAACTTGAGATTTTTGGTAGATTAAATTCGAATAGAATGGATTTTCTTTGTCCGCTGTTATAGTTGTAGTGGATTGAATACTTTCAAATGTATCTTGTACTGGAATAGCAGTTGATGATTGAGTAACAATATCATTTAATGATCCTAAAGCAGTATTTGCTAAGATTTCCGTTTTTTCTGCAATCTCTTTACCAGACGTTATTTCTATTTGAGCTTGTTTAGTACATGGCATATTTGAACTCTTAACTTGTCCTTCCATTTCTTGAGTTATAATTTCAGTTACAGTTTTTGTCTCTTTTTCATTTTCTACGTTTATTTTAGCATTAGAATATGGTGGTTTGAGTTCTTCTTCAAATATCTCCTCTTTATCATGGCCTATATTGTCAACAATCACAACACCATGGACAACATCCTGAGTTGGCATTACTGTGTATGTAACGACATTAGGAATATTTAATTCACTTGTGCTATCTTCTGGTTTTACTTCGAATACTTTACTAACTGTTTGACTGTCAGTTATATCAATTAAAGCTTGTTTTGTAATTGGTTTTGTTACAGGATTATAAAAAGATTCTTTTTCACCTAATATGATTTCAGTTGTGTCAAGTATATTATTAGTATCCATATTGATGTTTGCAAATTCTTTTTGATGATTGGCTGTTACTTTTAATTCGCATTCTTTTTCCAATGGACTAACTTCTAATTGATTGATTGAATCAAAAGGAATTTGAGATGGTTCTAAAAATATTTCACTGGGCGTAGTGATTTTGAGATCATTCGTACTCATTTGTATAATATTTTCTTCTAATTGTACAACTTTCATAGGACTGTATACCGAAGAGATTTGAGCACTATGTTGAATTTCTTGTTTAGGTTTATTTAGTATATTTTCTTTTTCAACTAAAATAGCAGAAGTTACATTCAAACTTTGATTTTCTGGCAATATTTGAGTAACATATTTTAATGATGGTGGGATTTGTTTTTCATGAGCAATTTCAGACTCTTCGGACATAACTTCGGTTACCAAAATTTCTAATAGTGGTTCTAATTGTTTTGTGGCGCTTAATGGTTTACACACACATTCAATTAACGGAGCAGCATCATCAGATGTTTCTATTTCTTCGATTGTAATAGTTTGATTTTCATCAAATATAATATTTGCTTCTGAGCTTTTATTACTTGAAACTAAGTCTAAAGATTTCTCTGATTCATTCGTTACAATTTCTGTTACTTCAATATTTTGGGACACTTCAATCGTAAAACTACAAGTTTTTAATACATTTTCGACTGGTTCAAATGGTATTTCAGCTTCTTGATAAGGTGTTTCGGTAACTTCAATACTATGAGTTTCTGTAGATTTTGGAATTATGGAAATTATGGATGGCAACGTTTGGAGACTTAAATTATGGGTGGAATTTTGAGATAGAATTTCAAAACTGGATGCGACTTGTTGAGTTTCTGATATTTCACTTACTGCAATGTGGCTCCTTGGCAAAGACGAAGGGATTAAATCTGACTCAGATTCCCCTGTACATACTTCAGTTACGTCTAAGGTTTGTTCCATTTCATATTCTAGTGAGGCAGATTTCTCAGTGAATTGTGTTGATTGCTCAAATGGCATTTCATTATCTTGTAAATCAACTACAGTTGTACTTATACTTTCCAATAATACATGTTTAGATGAAGCTTGTTGTACAGTTTCTTTATTATCTTTCAAAGGTTGAACACACTCCAATGCAGTTTTTTCAGATTTCTGAGGAACTTTATAGTCTATTAAATTTGAAACTTTTGTTGCATTTTTAGTTTTTAATTTATCTATTTTAAGTTCATTTTCTTTATCATTAATTACTGTAGAATATATTATAAGACCTGCATTTTCGTTTAAACCATGAACGGCATTTTCCATTTTTGGATTATCTGATTGAAATACACTATATTCTGGTTCTTGAATATTTACTTCGGATATTTCAATACATTTGAGGGGTTCTATTACTTGATTTCCTAATTTCGTCGAATATTCAAAATCACTTAACTCCTTTTCACAAATCGAAATATTTGTTTCATTAACTTGCAGTCCTTCGTGACTTAAAATATCTTGTTCAGCATGGTGATAAATGGGCTGAAATTTTTCAATAAGTTGGATTTCTTTTTCATTAGGGAATATTTCAGTAACCATATAACTTGCTGATTTATCTTCGACTAAAATATTTACAGTTTGTGTGTTGTGTTGTTTATTATCATCTAATGAAGACTCCTTCTCTTGAGTTATAATTTCAGATATTTCAACGCCATGAACTTCTGTTGCTTCAATACTTTTAGCTGATTTTTCTTTTGGAAATTCAATTTTTAAGTCTTCAATGGGACTTTCGACGTTTGTCTCAAAGGTTTCTGCAATATCTTGTCCTGTGATTGTAATATTACTTTTTCGCTCCATAGGTAAACATTCAATTATTAAGTTTTGCTTGGTGTCGAGTTGAACTTGTTCAGTGATTTGAATGCTCTTTACTTCTTCATACGTGAAATCAGCACGTTTTTCTGGAAGTATATTATTTTCCACTAATAACCCTTCTTTTTCAAGAGGAGCTGTTTCTAGTGACTCAATTGCTATTTGAGTGCTTTTAGACGATAAAGCATAAACTGATTGTGGTATAAGTTCATCAAAATCACTTGTAGAATTGCATACCATTGTTTCTGACGTTACCCGACATTCTTCTAAAATAATTTCTTGTCGGTCCAATGTATGAGATGGAATTTCGTTAGCTTTAAAATCTAGCTCTTTATCTTGCGTTAAAATTTCAACTACACTAATTGGAATATCCAATTCACTATAATTTGTTTCTGCTTTTTTAGAATTTGGCATTACAAATTCCGATAACTTATTTTCTGAATCTGTAGGTATTATTAAAGTTGTTTCTAAACTATGAAATTGTTTTTGAGATACATGGGCAACTCCAGTAACTGGACTCTTATCTGTTACTGTTTCCACATTTTCACAGGTCATGATGTCTTGGCCTCCAAGAGGTTTAAATGGTATAATATTAGTTTCAGCTGTTTCTTCTTTAGGTACTGTTAAAATAAAAATATCTTCTGGTCTGTTGTCAGAAATGATTTCTGTAACCTCTATTGCTTCATCTACTATTAACGATGTATTTGCCGAACATGGTGATGGTATTTTGTCATCTTTCATTACTTGTTCTTTTTCAGATATGTTGGTTTCGTACAAAATTACACTTTCAAAAGTACTAGGTTGATGATATGCGTGTAATTTAGAAACCTCTGGCTGTATCAAATCCAATGTATAATCTCCAGTAACGATTTCCGAGCGATCAACAGCCTCAATTGGAACAAATTCAGTTATAGCCTTTTTAGTTTTAAACACTTTTTGTTCAATCGTCATTTTTTCTTTTTCGTAAATAGACTGTTCTGTAATATTTACACCAATTACTTCGTCAATTGTTATGTCTACAGTTTTTGGTTGTTTCTTTTCTTTATTTAACAAAATATCCTCTAACTCATTTACAGATGTTACTTCGGACACACATGCTTTATACGGTACATGTTTTAGTATTGCCTTATTACTTTTATATTTTTCTATATTTAATTTTTCAACGGCATCATTTGAAATTATTTCTGTTGTTTCAGCCACGTCGTGACCAGAAAACACTGGTACCGCCCGCATATTTTCAGGTTGACTATCAAGTGTTAAATTAGATTCTGACTCATAAGCCGAAACTTCCTTTACTACAATACATTGGTCATCTACAAAATTAATGTGGGCTGTTTTTGATGTGTGTCGAATTTTATCCTTATACATGCTTTTTAGGTCTGTGACACTATTCTCCGGTGTAATTTCTTCAATAACTACAGCTTGAAGAGAATGAGATGGCACACTTGCGATATTGTGCAATTCTGGTTGTACCTTTAATAACAAGAACTGTTCTTGTTCTGCCACAACTGTTTGTTCTACAGTTATACTTTCAATTGGGGAATAATTTGTTTCCAGTTTAACTGAAGTTGGTTTAGAAGTTTCTTCTAATGGGATATCATTTTCATGTACATCGATCTGAGATATTTGTTTGGCTTCTAATTCTTCAAATATTGGTTCGGCCTCATATGTTTTGTAATTTAAATTTATTGGTAAATCAGTTGAATAATCATCAGGTGTAGTTTCAGTGACAATGCATGAATTATTTTCTATAAAACTAGTATCTGGTAATAACTCTAACGCTGATTGTGATGTAAAATTTGATTCTGTTTCGTTAGGTATAATTTCAGTTACATCCAGCACTTCCAAACCAAAAACGGAGCTTTCAATTTGTTTCATTTCTGGAACGACAGGAATATTTAAATCAGATTCTGCTTCATTTATTTCTATTATTGACGAACTACACACTTTATTTGCGTTGTTTATCGTCAGTTTTGCAGTATGTGATTGAGGTAAATGAGTATTAAAGTTTTCTTCGTTTTCTTCTTGATTAACTGAATTTACAATTATGCTTGATTGTACAGTTATATCAGACATTGCGAATGACTTCTCAGGCATTTTTTCTTTTTCTAATTTAGTTTCTTTTTCTTGTATGTTTGACTCGCTGACTTCAATATATTTTTCGGGAATAATTAAAATATCTGCTTTATATTCAATTGGAGGTTTTGATCGATCATACTTGTCTTCTTTTTCTGAAGATTCTATTTGAAATGTCGTTATGGCATTGTTTGATGGTACTATTAATTGTTTGGCGATTTCAGTGGGCACAATTATTTCTGGATAGTAATTTTCTGGTTGAATTTCATAATGTGATTCACTGACAACTAATTGTTCGTTAAGTGGATATTCAACTGAAGATTTCACTAGCGCTGGTTTAAATACGTCTTTTAATTGACTTTCAGTGTGTGCTTCATTCACTTCCACAACATTTATACTCTCGTGTTCAACATAATCTTGTATTGCTTTTTTTGTCTGTGGCATACGTTCTTGTATGATTTCGCCTTCCTTTATAGAGGCAATCGCTTCTGTGACTACTTTTTGTGAATGTGAAATTACAGTAACTTTAGCTTCCTTATTTTGTGGTTTGTACTCTGATCCTTCACCTAGGCTTTGATTCGGATAAATTTCAATAATTTTTATACTTTCTTTGGGTATAACATCTTTTATCGCCAAACATGGTATAAATTCAAAAGTCTTAACAATTTCTTCAAGAGGTGATTGAGTGTCAGGATTAACTGTTGAAAAACTTTCATTAAATTCAAAAACAGAATTTGCTTTATGTTTTTTTGTTTCAAAGGTTTCTTTTCGGGTTTCTTCTTTCTCTTCGTCTTTTGTTACTATGCTTTCCGCGGCCCTTCGTGTTGTTATTTTAATCTGTGCTTTTTCAGGTAGATTATTATAATCAGTTGACAATTCAACAGCCTCTTGCTGAGCGATTGTTTCGTTTAAAGTTTTTGATGTTTTCAGAATAGTTGGACATATAGCAGGATACTTATCTACATCGAATTCGTAAGTTGTTTCTTCAGGAATAATTTCTTCTCCAGTCTTTGATCGTTTAACTTTTATTTTTTTTATTGTTTTTGTTTCTTTTGTGATAATTTCTTCTTCTTCTTCATCTTCAAGGTCAATTATATCATCTATCTTCTTTTTTTGTTTTATTATTTTTTCCGTATTGATCGGCTTATCTTCTGATACTTCAATTATCATGTTACTATTATCCGTGATTTCAGTAATTTTAATATTTTTATCATCTAGTATGTTCTGTACTTGTTCATTGTCTGTGGATAAACCAAAGAAGTCATCAAATAAATATGCAAATAATTTGATATAACATCAAGATTGAACAATCCAATAACAAAAAAAAAACACAGAAGATGATAGAGATAGTTGAAGAAAGTCCGAAGAAGCATAATTTTAGAAAATAGCATAATAAAAAACAAGCACAAAGACAAAAAGAGAGCATTTCACCACAATACCTAGAGCACATTTTATTTAAAAAATAATATAATAAATGTATTTATTTATTAAATAGTATAGTCATTAAAAATTGTTGATGTACCTACCATATAATATATTTGCACTTATAATTGTGTTGTTTTTGAAAAACATAGCCAAAGAAAATTCAAATTACCTAATAATAAGTTCAATGATAGTTTTTTAAGAAATTGTTAATAAAATATTAATATGGAATATTGTAGATCGATTTAATGATATGAGATACAAATGAAAGCATGCATTTTATGTTTCCATTATTAAATTTGAGTGAGAAAAATATATTATAATACATATTTTAATATAATAATTGGAATTACAATCTGTATATACAAAATTCTTAGATTTTTATTGTAAGCAAAACAAGTAATGAAATAATGATTATTATCCTTTTGCAGTGGCGTCATTATATTTTTCATTGGAGGGGGGCAAAAGTTTTGACCAAACCAAATGAACAACTTAATAAAATAGAAAATATATTTATTCCAACTATGTATTATTAACTATTTATTTTGACAATGATTTATTAGTACAAAAAAATCATATCATTTTTTTTAAATTATAAAAATAGGCATGTTTTTCTCTAGTAAAATATAATAATAGTGAATCGGAAGCAACCTGGCACTAGCCCGTCGGGCTGATTTTAAAATCAGACAGGGGCAAGATGTAGACCTTTCCACCCCCTCCCCACAAATGACACCACTGTCCTTTTGCTCAATTTTGTGTGTTAATAACAAAAATTAAGGTACACTAGTTATGAAATGAAATGTGTCAATTAAAAATAAATGTTCAAAAAATAGTGTAATAACTACTAACAGTGTATTTTTAAACATGTTAATTTGTTAAATAAATACGAATTATCATTAGTATACTCCGTTCCACGAGAGCAGGTACACTAGCCACCAGGCGGTAGAAAGTGGGAAAATTTAGCCTACGCGCTGTTGACGGCGGCATTCGGATGCATGACTTGTGTACCTTCTCTCGTAGAACGGAGTATAATCAAAAAATGTCACATATATCAGAATATGCTCATTCACTTAGTAAAAAATAAGTAGACTTACCGTTAGTTAATTAGGATTTATATATCACCAATTATCATTAATCAAAATACTATCATTAAGTAGCATTAAAATAAGCAGCATTTACATTTAATGATAAGAGCTATTTAAAATCATAGTTGACTGAAGCTGAAATATTGAAGCTATAAGCGTTGTACAATATTAATAATAGGTGTACATTATAACATGTGTAAATTATTTATTAAGTATAACATGATTTATATAATGAAACATACAATTTTTTTTCAAAATTGTAACTTTTAAGTATTGTGTTCCAACTAATAATATTAAAATATTAATAACAATAAAATACATACCGATTGACAAAGTTTCTTCGCTTGTTTTAACTAATTTCTTTGCTGATCGAGTTTTCTTCTTAACTTCTAAAAAGAAAACCAACATAATATTACTAAATAAATGAAAATTAATTGAATAATATAATATGATACATATGTATGTACAGCGGTTACTGGTAACATAAATTAATATTGAATATAATTACCATGTTCTTGCATAAATACGAATTTCAAAAATATTATGAAAACAATTTTAAAAAAAAATATGAAACATATTTTAAATTAATATATTTATTGTATTGGATAAAATTCTGAGCCGTAAATATTGATTTAAAATAATATTAAATTTACCATTGACTAATATGTTTACAGACTCGCTGATATCAGCTGTATCGGTGATCGTATCATCTGTAGTAATTTGAGATGCGTGCTCGAAATCCCAGGTGCTGGTTTGAAAATCTTCCGGCAACAAATAAGTAATGATCTCTTCCAGTGTGCTATGTTTCAACTCGACCATTGTCATAAATGCCTTAAACACTTCGTTGACTGTTTCAGGTATGGTCGATTCTTTTGTGAAGACGTCTGCAACCAAAGATGTGTACCCTTCACGTTCGATAAGATGCACCATGGCTGACTGAGCAGGCGCAGTCCTCAAGGCAGGGAATTGACCTGACGTGTACTCTTCGATCACCTAGCACAGAAACACACACCGTAAAAATATTGAATAGATTAAAGAAAAAGTTAAAATGAAAATAATAGTTTAATTTATGTTATATATTCAAACATTGAGCTGAAAATAATGTGAAGACGTCCTTAGAATAACATTATAAACTTTATAAATAAGAACATAATTTAAAATATTTTAATTTAAGTTCTACTTTTATACCAAATTAAATTAAAAATATTAATGTAGAAATTTACAGAAAATACATTTATTAAGTTAAAAGTCATTACTCATTGTACGTATCTAACTACAAAAATGAGTAACTTATCGTAACATTAAAAAAAAATAAATTAACCTAATTTTACTCAATTGAAAATCAGTTATAAGACTAGTATACCCACAACTTGCATGGTTGGTACATTGCGATTTTCAATTACCTGTTCCGTGGATATACCATGTCGGGTGAGTATATCGATGGTGGCCAATTCCCGTAATGGCCATTCAGCCGGTCCAAACTCAGCCAGTTCAACTTGATCTAACACTTGGTCAACTTCATGGACCACCGCAGGTTTCCGGACCTTGAGTGCTGTGAACAGTGCTGGTTCTTCGGACAGTTTTGGGTGAACAATTTCTGGTCCACGAACTTCCTTGACAGTCTCGTCCGAAACCGTTTCTGACGTGGACAACGGTTCGTGTTCCGGTAACGATAGTTTCTCCTCTACCTGTGAACACGACATTTGACATTTTATTACTATAGTATTTTTGCAATTATGGTCGAAATGCACGGCATACAAACACCAAAACTTGAGATTAATTTAATTGGATGAAACTAACTGTATTTATGACTAGATTTCAAATGGATCTCATTTAGCCAATTTTGAGTTTAAACTTTTAAAGCCACGCTTCCAAATTAGTCAAAACGACTTAAAAGGAAATATTCCAACTCGGTATTGTATATCTAAAACAGGTGCTAACATTTCGTAAAATACTATTTAGTATTTATACTGCGGGCATATACCTACTGGTAGGACCAAACTAAATAAAAGTTCCAATTTATTATTTAATGAATATTTATTTTCACACTTATAGCTTGCTTATCAAAACCGTCTATATACAAGCCAACATAACAAGCAGAATACTTTAGTGTTCTCTTATTTATGAATTGAAGGACACACACAATTTATATCATTTTATAAATATATAATATGAATCTAATATACAAAAATTATGTGGATAAGCGGGTGCCTAGTACTATCTACACTGTAAAATGTTAAATTTTAATTCAATGAATTGAAACCATTGTATACGAAAAATGATTATAAGTGAAGTCGGTCTGTTAGCCTATATATTACTAATTAACTATATTTTATGTTATTATTATTATTATTATTATTATTATTATTATTATTATGAAATAATTAATTTTACATTAAAAATACAGTTTTAATTAAATTTAATTCAATAAAAACTATTTTATAATTACCGTTTTAGAAGTAGTAATTTCAAGCGATTCTTTTGTTTCCGTTTCATTAAATGATCTATAATATATATTAAGTATATTAGGTATTTCATGTTTAGTATACTTAAATACATTCAATACTTACCCAGATTCTTTTTTATGTTTCTTCTTTATGGTCTTCTTTTTAGTCTTTTTCGTCTTCTTCACTTCTTCCACTTCTTTTTCTTCCACTTCATCTTCAGTAGCTGTGAATGCTTCGTCCGCATGTTCTAAGTTTAATTATAAATGAAATTCAGTTATTATGTCCCTACATTTTTTTTTTTTAATTATCATTACTTTTAACATAAAGTTTTGATTTATTTTTCGCTTCTCCTAAATTGCTATTCGCTTTGCAAATATATACACCTTCATCTTCCTTTGTTACTTTTTTAATAGTCAATGTAGTTTTGGTGTCGTCGATTTTAATCTGAACATTTGGTGAGTTTCTGACAATCTTATCATCGTGATACCATATAATCACTAAAATCAAAATATGTTATATGAATTTGTCTTATGTATTATGACAGAATTATGTAATCAAACCGGGAGTAGGATTTCCAGAAAATTGACATTCAAATACAATCGTTTCATTTTCAACAGCTCTCTCATCTTTTAATTCGTTTACAAAGCTTGGTACACTTTGGAAAGCTGTAACAAAAATTATTGAAATAAACAATGCAAATTATTGAACAATATATTTTATTATTATTTCTGTTATGTTTAATAATTTTTATGGAACTTACTATTTTGTTGTAGGTCGAAATGGAATATAACAATAATCAAACAAGGATACTACCACGAACTGTGTTAGAAAAAAACATTTAAGAGAATAAAATATTTTTGATTTATGAAAAGAAAAAAAATCAATTTCATCGAAACTGGTGATACGTATATTCCTAAAATGAACAACCATTAACCGATAATTTTAGAGTGTGACTAGTTTGAAGAATTTAATGATTTTACAAAGATGTTTTTCTTGGGTGTATATTGAGAACAAAATTTATAGAAGAAAAAAATTCTTGGATTTTCCACTTCAATATATAGTCTGGTAGGAAAGTGAATCTAGTTTTTATGACGTCAAAATAAGAAATACTCTGATAAAAACTAAAAATTAGGTATAGAAATACATTTTTTTTTCATCATAAATTTTAAAGTAATATATTATTAAATAATTATGTACTGAATACAACATACTGTACAATACCAATTAAATAAAAGTGAATAACAGCTCATGTTATCATTGATTGTTGATAAAATATTCTCTCAATACCTTTATACTTAGTATACATGGTAATTACAAGAAAAAAAATACGTTTGAATTGAAAACCACACTTGATTGGATTTATTTTACGAATTCACAAAATAATGACACAACACAAATGGTAATATTTGTTATATTGTGTAACATAATATAAATTATGAGGAATCAAGTAATATTAATTTCATTTGTATGCTGATAATATTTAAATTATTATTTATTTTATACTAGAGATAATCTATCATAATTTATCATGTTTAAAAATGAGGATTTAGACATCTAATCACTTTACTGTACAGTGTACAGTAGGTATCGAGTGTAGGTACCTAGCCACTATTTTCAAATGGCTTTAATAAAAATTCAAGACGAACCTTGAACTAAATATATAAGCTTACACAGAAGACAAACAAAAAATATCAATACGATATTAATAGGAAACAATAATCGGAATTGTCGAATGTCTATAAATTACTCTTTTAGAGTCAAAATGTATTTTTTAATTATATCATGCATATGAAATGCTAATATAGACATTTAATAAAAATTACAAGTATCTGCAACTATTTGCTTCTGAGTTACAACTAAAACAAAATTAATTTGATACTTAATATTTATAATTAATTTAATATTTCGGTTATTTTCTTTTTCTTTTTCACGATTATTTTGAAAAATACTGGAAATATTTTAATTTTTACACCCCAAAGTATCAACTAAATCCATCTTGCAAACAGGAACTAAACTCAAAGTAGAACATCCAAACATTTTTCTACTAGAAAAAGTTGTATATAGACAAAAAAAAACACACATCATTTAAAAATCAATACATTGAAACATGACGGTGGATCTTAAATATGATGATGATATTATGTTTGTCTAATTTTAGTAAGACGCGTGATTCCGATGCCCATTGATTAAATACACTCAATAATTTAAATACATACATTTTTATTTATTTTTAAGTGGTTATTTTTTATGTGGAGGGCATGAAGTCCACTTAGCCTTCCCTGAGAATTACAATGTAAGTACTAATATAATATTTAATTTTTACAACTTTTATAGTATTATTTACTGTGTTCATACATTTGTTTAAGATTTTAAACAGATTAAGAAATCGAATAAATTGTTTTCTTTATTTTAAAATGTATATTGATTTACTATATTTTAAGTACATTTTGGTGGTAAACTTTGAGTCTTAGAAGTGTTATACCTACACACAATCACTACTTTGTCATTAATGAGTTTAACTATGTGTATACAATTATTGATTAGTTTTTAATATGTATTCTGATAGATAATCCTTAGTCCATAATATTGTATCATATACATCACTATTATAAAAAGTATAATTTTAAGCGATTACAATTCGTCAGAACTGAATTATGCCTACCTGATGATATTGCAAGTGTTTCATAAGTAGATTGCAAGTGGTAATTTGTCGATATTTCAAACAAATGCTAATCGTACCGATTGATTATATGTCAATACTCAATTGTCAAGTGATTTTAAATTTGAATATGGTTTTAAATTTTTCGTTTAAGTTGTTAAATCTACTTAATGTGGTCTTTCACCTTATTTATTTTTTAAAGTTTTGATTTTTGTCGTTATAATTTCTTGAGTAAAATTTATATGTAAAAAAAGAGAGGAGAATATCTTAGCCAAACTACGGGGAAATTCAAACTGTTTTTCGAAATTCATATCATTCCACTATGGGATCAATCGGTAATTTTCTTTTAACAAACTTTAGAGAAATACAGAAAACCATCGGCTTTACTCACCTTTAATTTGAAAAACCACTGATTGACGGATAAATTGGTAATTTATTCTAAAATGATACTTGACTATGTTTTATTAATTATTGTCAGAACCGAAAAATAAAGCAACATACTAATATGGCGTTTTGGATAGGCAAATTAACTACACCACATCAGTTATAATTACACTTTTTTGCCGCAAGTCACTATTTAATATTTATGCTGTGGTAAGAAAGAAACTTAGATACAATAATTAGAATTATGATAGATTAAGATATAGAAAATAACGTCAAAATTAAACTTTTATTGAAAAAATGTCCAAAATGAGAAATTACTGAGTATAAAAAATAAAAATTAAATATATAAACAAATTATTGATGGAAAAATGATTAAACTAAATATGTGTTTTTAAAAATGAAAAACTATTGAATAATATAAAAAATAAATTAGTCAAAACTATATTCAAACGTTAAAAATTCTATTCCTTTATTAGGTACCTAAATGAGTTATTTTGTGATGTACCTATACTTGAAATCGATCAGTGATAAGTGTAAATATGTTTTAACTTTTAATAATCCTTAATATTATTGGGAAGTTATTTATTTTTAACCTTAGCCATTTTTACATCAAAATATTTTTAGACATGAAAATGTTAACATAAACGTTTTGGTTTTGATAAGTGGTTATTTTTATCAAATACCATTAAAGATTAAATGTACCAGTAGTTAATACAATTATATTCTATTTTACACAAGTCAATAATATTGTAATGAAGTCTATAACTCATTTTTTTTCTATATAACACCGTTTTCATTGATTAACGTTGGGAACACACCATCATGAATTTATTTGGAATAAGTTCTGGTTGTTGAATCAATTGAATCAAACATCAACATTTAGGTACGTTCAGGATGCAAAACAAAATGGTTAAAAAAAACACAAGCACAAACAATAAAACTAATATTATTTCATACAATTACAAACAAACAAAATAAAATAATAAAACACACAAAATTTAATAATGCAAACATATACAGTCACAGCTTTTCGTTTCGTCTGGTTTAGAAAATAGGCAAATATCAAAGGTCGACGACGACGTCCTTTGAACAATGAATAATATAGAATTATTACCTTCTTGAATTATTACAGAAATACACTGTAGATTCATCTTTGCTCGATCTTTCTATATCATCGATAAATAAGTAAATAAATTCCAGTGTATTTCGACGAAATGAAACCTTGCAATTATAATTGGTTAGCTGGCTCACATTTACTAAAACACACGTCACGACAAGATGTATACAAACCGTCTCTGCGGCGGCGACAACAACAACAATAATCAGTAATTATAATATCATAATAAATTGTGGGTTTCAGTTATTTTCTCGGTTTTTCGTCAACAAACGCTGCGTGTAGCCCACCGTCAGTGGACATGCACTGGCTCTCCAGCAACAAGAACTCTTGGAGCTCATCTTGACTATCAGCCGTATGCAGCTGGAAGAACATTTCCGGGTCAATTTCACGGGGCTCCAGCGGGTGGCCAGTGTACTTGCGGCGATTATACGTGGCCACTGACTCGTCAGCATGCGTCCTCGGATAAGTCTGGCTGCGGCCGGTCGGGTCCTCTGTATCCGCCGCTGCTGAAGAGGACGACACCTCCTGGCAGGACAGGGACCGAACCCGATCCGAGCCACCATCCGAAGAAGTGGGTTCGCTGTGCTCTTGTATGGGGCTCAAATAGAACGCGCTGTTGACGTCGTAATCGGCAAAGTACGTACCATATCGGACAACCGTATCGTCTCCGTAGTTTTCATCGGGCCGGGTTTCGGGACTGTACACACAACAAGCGTCTAAACTATCAGCGGTGCATTTACCTTGTAATTGTTCCCGCAACTCTTCCATCTGGGTCACCCATGAAGGTTTCCTGTAGGCTTTCGTCCCTTTGATACCTAAAGAACACGGATACATCATTACATTTTGTTATAAATAATATTGAGTTAAAAGAGCATTTGGAGGGCGTCACTTTATGGCGGGGAATATATATATATATATTGTATGGGTGTGTGTATGTGTGAGTGTTCAAGATAATAATTAACAATAAATGAATCGATAGGAAAGTTGGCGAAGAGAACGTCGGTTGAAACTGAAAAACAAAACAAACTATTTATATACGAGTACACACATGTCTGAAGTACAAGCCCAATCTTTAAAAAGCTGTGATTAGAAATATCTGGAATTACCTGGGATTATTAAAGTCCTAGTTGAGGCCGTTCCGTACTCGTTCGTGGCCTCGCATGTTATTTCTCGAGCGCTCTCGGTTGGCCTTTTCTTGACCGTCAACACAGATACGCCCTCGTCCTGTTCTTCAATTTCGAACTCTTCGCTGGGCGTTATTTCTATGCCGTTCTCGTACCAATGGGTCTTGGGCTTTGGAGTGCCCTTTACTCTTACGACGAGGCGTATAGTGGTTTCCTCTTCTTCCTCCTCCTCCTCCCATATTGTTTCGGTTTGCAATTCTGTTTCGAAATACGGTGCTTTTCCAACCGCTACCTTATCTGGCTCGATCGTTTCCTCCACATCATCTTCGTCTACAGAGAACACATCATATGAAAAATATATTTTGAGAAGTACAGTTTTGTAACGCTTACGTTAGTGCTAATATTAGTAAAACTATTCAATTATTTTACCTTCGATCAAAACTGTAGTGGACGTCTTCGCTTCCCCGCGACTATTAGTGACCACAACTTCATAACGTCCAGTGGTCTTCTTGGTGATCTTCTTTATAATTATCACGGTCGTAGTCTCCGTTATAGTTAAAGTGCGTACGAACGTTTTCTTATCGGTTATGTCTTTACCGTTGTGGAACCACCGGACTTTTAACTCAGGAGTTCCTCTGAAATGCACGTCTAACGTCACGCACGTATCTTTTTTGGCTATAACAGGCTGCAAAGGTTTTATTATAGATGGCGCCTCCTCTAAAGGTTTGGTTGTTTCTTCAACGACTTCGTCTGTATAAAACAAAATATATTATATATTAATACATGTTATTAAAACGAAGTTAATTGTATTAAAATAAATCGTTTGCACTAATGGATTAAGATGTATAAGCAGCTACGATTTGTTTTTATAGCTTAAAAGATGTCATTAAAACTGTACTTACAATAAGATTACAAGGAATCATTATTTTTGGGATATTTTTTTAAATAAGCAGCCCGAACATTATTTTCAAAGTAAATAGTAAACTAACTAAGTAAAATATAAAAATTAAAGCAAAACACACTTTCCATAAAAAATGTAATTATAATAACAATATATAATATATTAATATATATATAATTATAATAATTATAATCAGGTAAATTCAGTGGAGTTTACCACGAAATAAAATTTATTTTTACCAAAATCATTGTATTATTATACTTATATTACATTTATTATAATATATTCCAATTATTATCGTATAAATCAAATGTCAATTAACGCGTACTGTATTATAAATAGGTAGTGTGGTCAATAGGCGTGTAATAGGTCGGTGGTAGAAATTGCTTAGAATTAAACTAAATATTTAAAAAAATATCATTCTGATCTAAGTTTTTTTGTTTATAACTAAATAACTAAGATTAGAAGAGGAAAAAATGATTATTTTTCTTTTAAATATCTATTTCTGTCAGCATTTGAACTTCAAACACATATAAAAATATACCCAGTAGCCTGATACTCAATATTTTTATTCTACAAAAAAATTTTAAATATGTTTTGTTAATAAGTAACCATGAAAACAAAAACGTTACGAAAAATCGGTCATAAAAATAACAAACGTGTATCCAGCTTAAAACATATATTTATGTTAAAAAGCTTAAGACGAACTCTGTGTTAAATGTTCAAGTATTCCGACAAAGAGTGAACATTTTTATGAATACTTTTAAAAAAGAAACTATAGAATGTCAAATAACAATAAATATAAATATAAGTGAATCAAATAAGTCTAAATTATGAATATTCGTCTATAAATTAGTCTAAATATTTTTAAAACATAATTGTGTACAGAAAAGCATAATTTATGTTGAATGTTTTAATGTTCTGTGATTTTATTTTAGATTTACAATAAAATGATCAAATCAAGGTTAGATAAGGTGAAAAATCAAAAGTACATTTAAAATTAATAAAGTAAAAAAAAATTTAAAAAAAAACAATACAGAATTACGAGAATAAATAACAATAACAATTGAATCGATTAAATGTTTGTGTCGTATTCCAAAATTAATAAGTAAGAACCTCCAAACAATTCACATAAATTAATATTTTCAATACCCGATGACATTTTCAAAATGTTTAAGCTTCTTTGAAGCTATATTTATATTTATAGACTGATGACGTTTTATATATATATTTTTTTTGTATTTGTTTTATAAATGTTGATACAAATGTCCTTTCTTGGTTAAAATACTTGAAACTACAATAAATGTTTCGATAAGGGTTTTTAGTTTTACCAAATTGTTTTAAAAAAATTAAAAGTGCTGGACATTTTCCGCATTACATCTTCCAGCTCCCATAAACAAAAATTATCAACTAGATCTTATTTTTTTAACAGAAGACACCCTCAAAGTTTATCTTCAAAGCTTTTCTACAGGTTCTATAGACGTCCTAGATGTGATGATCGAAAAATCAATATATTCATCACTCAGCTCTGAATTGCTACCAAGAATCATTGATAATTTATTTTATAAGTCGTAATATCGTCAACGATTGATTAGGAAATAATTGCTATTTAAAGCCCAATACTGGCACCATACTGGTATACTAGCATGTCATGTTATTCTTATCTTATCTAGATAGTGACTATTGTATACTTTTATGTCTATTTTTAAATTACTTTTGAGTAAGGGTGTTGTCATTATTGATTTATTATAGAATTTCAAAAACCACTATGTAAGAACTAGTATGATTTAAAAAACTAAGTATTTTATAATTACTTAGAGAAGACAAGACCTAAAATAGGTAGGTTAGGTACTATAATTAAATATTTATACAGTATTTATTTTAAATATATTAAATAGAAGATCGTTTTAAATGAAGATATTAAACATTTTATAAGTAATTAGATCAATTTTAGAAAAATATTTGTTTAATGATTAAAAATAACCAATGAACCAATATTATTATTATTATTACTATTATTATTCTATAAATTTAACATTTTTTTTTTATACTTGAATATGATTAGATAAAGAGTTGGATTTAATAGAATTAGAGTTTTCAATGGATAAAATATATTTTCAAAATTAACAGTTAAAAATTAAACAAAATTAAATAAAAATATTGTACCTATCGGTTTAAAATTTTTTTTTTTGCAATGTGATGTAACCGTTGTATGATTTCAACATTACGTTTTCTTAAAAAAACTATAAAAAAATAAAATATAGTATGTTCGACCATTACTTATGGTAGAAACTAGCTGTACAAATAAAAATATTCTAACCTAAGTAATATAATATTATAATAATATATTATATTATGTAATATATAATATTCCCATTTTTATTATTTATTTAATTATAAGAGTATTAAACTATTCATATTTTTTTTATCACATTTATTAGTTATTGGCTTAATGATAAACTATGGTATTATTAGGTCCTATAGCTATATATTTATTGTAATGGTATTCTGATAACTACCTTTTTATAATATAAAAAAGTAGGGGGCTCACCCCTACAAAGTACAAAGTAGTATATTTAAGTAGGGGGCCCATCTAACATAGGCCCACCTAGTGAATATATTCTGATTAAGTGCCTGACCACGAGACCTAACAATAAGCAATTATAGCCAAATTGGAAGGAGGCATTTTCAAATTTAAGCTGGCTAATAAAACGTTATTACTAAATATTGTAACTAACATTAAATATTAACGAAGCACAGTCTTAAACTAAGTGCATTATCTTATAAATAAGACAAAACCAACAATTACGTTCACTATACAAATCATTCATAATAATATAATAATTGACACTATCGGTAACTATTGTCCTACTTAACGTTACGCTTACTTATTACCTATAATCAGATTGGCTTTGCATTGTGCCAATCCAAAGTCGTTAACTGCTTTCACGGTGTAATCGTTTACGTCCAGTTCCGTGGCGTTAGAGATCGTGAGCTTCGATTCGCCAGTCTCCGGTGTATGGGATACGACATGACTGTCGTCTGGCACGATTTGTTCGTCTCCGCGACACCATACGATGGTTGGCATTGGTGTCCCCGTAACTACGCAACGCAGTTCTACAGTTTCGGTTGGCTTGACAGCTTTAGGTTTGATCGGAACGACAAACGCTGGAGCAATTCCAATGTCATATTTTTCTGTAAATGCAATATCATCAAACATTTTTCTGATAACGAGCGAATATAATATTATAATGCTTGAAAAAATTGTAAATGAAAAAAAATGCATATGCTACATTTTGTTGGGAATTTAATTAAATTTTTATTGTATTGTTCATTTGCGTTTTGATGGCAATAAATAAAGCATTACGAAAAGCGGCCTTACAAACATTGGTTAGAAAAAAAATTTGTCCCCGTCCACAACACAAATCTATGTTAAAAAAATCTGTTGCTGTAGAACGGTGGCACTAACTGAACGTTTTTTTTTTTGACATGATATATAATAATTAATAATACATATAGGTTCTAAAATTAAGTGTTATAGAGTTGGGGTTATTACGTTTACGACTTACATTGCAAACCAAATCACTTAATTAATTAATTAATTAATTAACTTTAATTAATCACTTATTGATTAATTTAATGAACATCCTACATCCTAACCCTAGTATTAAAGAAATATAATGTTATAGTATTTCAATTTATTTATTATGATTATGATTATTTTTTAAACCCAAAATGGAAAAATTGCATAATTGCATAACTTATCACCGATAATGATAAACATTTGATAAATACGCACCGCATACAATTTTAATAAGCAAAATCGCAAGGATTTTAATTTTCAGTATTTTTGATTCATTTTAACTTATTTAAACAATTGTATTTTAAATGGTGATTTATTTTAACAATACTAACCTAAAACTAAATTAGCTCGGCACCTAGCTCTTCCAAATTTGTTTATTGCTTCTACCGAATAATGAGCTTCATCAACTATTGTCGGTTTTTCAATGGTTAATTTGGATTCTCCAGTTTCTGGAATAAACTGAATTGAATGCATGTCGTCAGGGACAATTTCGTCCTTTCCACGACACCAAACAACAGTTGGCATCGGATTCCCAGTCACCAAACACCGTAAAACAGTTGTTTGGTCTGGTTTTGCCAGTACGGGCTTTATAGGCTCAACAAAGGTTGGGGCTACACCAAAAACATCTTCTTCTATAAATATAGAATTCATAAAAAATGTTATGTAGATTAAAATTAATATAAATATATATTTTATAGTATATAATATATTTGTTTAACGATATTACTTACGTATAATTACATTTGCCCGGCACTGAGCTCGGCCATATTTGTTGGTTGCCTTCACTGTGTATGTGTTCTGATCAACTTCTGTGGCCTTTGAAATAATTAGTTTCGATTCACCCGTCTCTGGTATAAATGTTATTGAATGAGTAGTGTCTGGAATTATTTCCACATCTCCTCTAAACCAAACGATATTAGGTGTAGGTATTCCTCTAACCAAACAATTTAACTCGGTGGACTCGTTAGCTTTAGCGATTTTCGGTTTTATGGGTTCTACAAATATTGGTGCTTCACCCGATTCATCTTTTTCTAATAAAAGGAAAATGTAGATAAATAAAAGAATTTATAAAATATTTAAAAATTTACTTACGAATAATTAGATTCGCCCGACATTGTGCTTGGCCGTATTTATTTACAGCGTTCACGGTATAAATAGTTTCATCAATTTCAGTCGGGTTTAAAATCGTTAAGATTGATTCTCCAGTTTCCTGGTGGTATGTGACCAAGTGACATTCGTCAGGAATGATTTCATCGTTGCCACGACACCAAATTACTAACGGATTCGGTGTTCCTCTTACGGTACATTTAAGTTCAGTTATTTCGTTTGATTTGGCGATTTTTGGTTTTACTGGTTGTACGAATGTCGGTGCCTCTCCAAGTTCATCTTTTTCTAGTTAAATTAAAAAGTAATTAACTGCATATAATTATAATATACATAACGTTACTTACGAACTATCAAATTCGCTCGACACTCAGCTCTTCCAAATTTATTTATTGCGTTCACTGTGTACGTTGACTCATCAATATCATCAGGATGCACTATTATAAGTTTGGACACCCCTGTTTCAGGGATGTAAATTAGCATATGACTTTCATCTGGTATAATTTCTTCATCATCACGACACCATACAACTGATGGCGATGGAACACCTTTGACTAAGCAGGTGAGTTCAGTTGTTTCGTTGGCTTTCACAACTTTCGGTTTCAATCGTTCCACAAACTTGGGCGCTTCTCCGTATTCTTCATTCTCTAAAATTTAAAAATGTAATTTTTAATTGATTTTAAGTTAAAATTGTATATAATCTATTACCAAATGTAATATGTGCCATGCATTCAGATTTTCCGTGAATATTCACCGCTCTAGCTAGATACGTTGATCGGTCAACGTCCATAGGCTTTACCAATGTTAAAATGGCTTCACCAGTTTTAGAATCAAAAGTAGTACTATACTCGTCATCGTCCGAAATTATTTCTTCATTTTCACGACACCAAATAATTTCAGGTATAGGAATTCCTTTCACAATACATCTCAATTCGATTGATTTTTTTCCTCTGACTTTTCTAGGTTTAATAGGTTCGACAAAAGTCGGAGCTTCACCAATTTCTTCAGAATCTAAAATATTTTAAGCATATATTAGGCAATTTAAATAGAAATAAATCTTTTTCAATAATCTATTAATCTTAAATGAGTTTCGTAAGCATAAAAAATCATAATATGGGAAATGGTTAAAATAATTAGGGCTCATAATATATATATTTTATATATAAATTACATAATAATATGTACAATATTTAGATAAAAAACATCACACAAAAAATGTTAAACCACTCAGGGACATCACTGACACTCAGAAATTCTACCTAACACCACTAGAAGTGCAGTACAAGTTGAAATTCCAGCTGCGTTTGTAGCTTGGCAAACATAAACGCCCGCCTGTTCCTCTGTAGGCTTAGAAATCCTCAATGTAGATGTATTCTCGTATACAATTATTTCGTAAACATCAGTTGTTCGTAGTTCACGGTCATCCCGGTACCATTTAACTTCAGGTGTAGGGATTCCCCCCACAGAGCACGTAAAAGCAGTAGGCTTTTCATGTTCCGCTACTAATGGTTGTACTTTTTCAATGAAATAGGGTGCTATAATTTCACTCTCTATTGCTTTCTTTTCAGGGCTCTCTTCACTTCTTTTTATACTTACGATTTCAAGATCCTGCAAAGGGCTATCAACGCTTAGAGATTTTGGGGAAGGTAATTTTTTGGACTTGGAGTGTATGTCAATAACAGGTAAATCGCTAACAAAAGGCTTAGGCTTTCCTAATTCATCATCATCAGTGTCGTTATTATCTAAAGGTTTTTTTATGGGAATTGGTTTTAATTTTATTTTATCGGGTAATTCTGGTTCTGGTATTCCTTGTTTATACTTGAGATTAATATCTTTTTCTTCATCCGTTGGGACAGGCCTTGGTGTTCCAGGTAATATTTTTTTATCAGGAATAGGCTCTTCTTCTTTCTTTGATTTTTTTCTGATATATTTCGGTTTTTTAATTGGTAATTCTACATTAGGTAAACTTGCACTATCGACCGGCGTCGGCTCAGACTCTTCAGCACTCTCACCCACTGCTATCGGTTTGAATGGTTCTAATGTAAAATCTGTGTCTTCAGATGGTTTTGAATCTGGTTCAGGTTTAAATTTAGGTTTCTCAATCGTCTTCGGCATTTCCACTTCGTCATCTGCTGGTTTTTTGGGTACTTTTTTTAATACAACTTTCTCTTGATCATCATTCTGAGTAGGTATTTTTCCTTTTCCAATTATTAACTTCTTTGGGGTTTCTTCATCTGGAATCTTTTTATCAACTGATTGTTTCGTTAAAGATGGTTTTCTCTCAGGTGCTTCCTTTTTGTCATGATGAAAATCAGTTGGTTCATACTTCTCAAGAACAACAGGTTCAAGTTCAGGGAGTACAAATTTCTTGGGTTTAGTTTTCTTTATTTTCATAGCTTCAGCGTAATTCCTAGACAGAACTCCATTGTCTACATAAATAGGTTCTAAAAGTGAAATAGTAGGAAAATATTCATGTGTATTATATTCAATATTATTAATATGCGACTTCAATAGAACTTTAGGGATTTTTACATGGTCATCATCAATCTTCGACTTAATAGGTGCTTTCTTAAGTTTGATAGTGGCTAACAATGGCTTATTGTTGTCTAACGCAACTTCGACAACTTTAATGGGCTTTACATCAATAGAAACCATTTCTTCAAGTACAGGACTTTCTTTAACAATAGAAAATGGTTCAATTTTACTATCATCATTGTCACCAGTTGGAATTTGCATATCATCAGTTTTCCTAGGTTTTTTCTTATTCACTTTTTTCTCAGGTTTATACTTAAAGTCTTTCGGCTTCAGTTCGTCTTCTCCTCTAGGATAATCAAATATATCAGGCTTCCCTAAATTAAGGTCTTCAGGTTCCTTTACATCGATTGGTTTTTCAAGTACAAAAGGTCTTAATTTTATTTCTGATGGAACATCGGGTTCTGGTATCCCTTGTTTATACTTGAGATTAATATCTTTTTCTTCATCCGTTGGGACAGGCCTTGGTGTTCCAGGTAATATTTTTTTATCAGGAATAGGCTCTTCTTCTTTCTTTGATTTTTTTCTGATATATTTCGGTTTTTTAATTGGTAATTCTACATTAGGTAAACTTGCACTATCGACCGGCGTCGGCTCAGACTCTTCAGCACTCTCACCCACTGCTATCGGTTTGAATGGTTCTAATGTAAAATCTGTGTCTTCAGATGGTTTTGAATCTGGTTCAGGTTTAAATTTAGGTTTCTCAATCGTCTTCGGCATTTCCACTTCGTCATCTGCTGGTTTTTTGGGTACTTTTTTTAATACAACTTTCTCTTGATCATCATTCTGAGTAGGTATTTTTCCTTTTCCAATTATTAACTTCTTTGGGGTTTCTTCATCTGGAATCTTTTTATCAACTGATTGTTTCGTTAAAGATGGTTTTCTCTCAGGTGCTTCCTTTTTGTCATGATGAAAATCAGTTGGTTCATACTTCTCAAGAACAACAGGTTCAAGTTCAGGGAGTACAAATTTCTTGGGTTTAGTTTTCTTTATTTTCATAGCTTCAGCGTAATTCCTAGACAGAACTCCATTGTCAACGTAAATTGGTTCTAACAACGAAATAGTTGGGAAATGCTCGTTAGTATTAAAATCGATTCTATATAAATGAGACTTCAGAAGAACTTTAGGGACAGCCAAAGGCTCAATTTCTTTATTTTTTTTAGGTGATGCTTTTTTAAGTTGAATGGTAGCAAATAACGGTTTATTTACATCCAACGACTTTGGTTGTTGTGGTTTCTGTTCAACAACCTTCAATTGTTCTTTTTTAAGAACAGGACTTTCAGAATTCTGTTCTTTCTTAAGAACAGGACTTTCAGAGTTCTCAATAAAGTCAGTATCAATAACGTCACTATCGATATCTTTACGACCTTTTCTCCAGGGAAGTTCTAATTTCTCATTAAGAAGTTTCACGGGAACTTTCTGTTCCGTTAAATTTTTAGGCTTTGCTAAGCCATCTTGTGGTAACTCCTCACCTTTAAGAATGACATCAAAATCTGCCAAACTATCATCTCTTGGTTTCATTATTCCCTTAATTTCCTTAGAGTCCAATACTTTTGGAGAAAGTGCAATAACCTCTTCATCGTTCAGAGCACTAACTTCATCGTCAGGAGAAAATTCCTTTTCTTGGTTCATATCTTCATTCAATTGAACATGTTTCTTCTTAATCGTCTTCTTTTCTTTAGGACCTGGTATTACTTTTTGAGCACAAACAATTGCATCAGGCTTTTTAAGACGATCTTCCTTCAACAAATCACCGTGCTTCATAAATCGAATTTTAATAACAGGTTGGTCGTCAAAAGCAGGGACGTCTGCTAATTCTTCAATAACCGGAGTATCATCTACTTTCGGTTTCTTAAATGGCTTAAGTAACACCTCTTCAACGGACTCTTTGGAAATCGGCTTCTTCTCAGTTTTAGTTTTTTTAAGAGTAACAGTCTCTTCTCGCCATGGTACTGAAGGTTTTCTTTGCTGATCAGTTGGAACTTCTTCAACCGGAGTATCCTCGACTTCCTCAATAGTAGGTTTGTCCTCCTCGGTTACTTCGTCGGTAGCAATTACCTCATCCTTGACCACAGTTTTGGTTTTCCTGACGCGTTTACCACCTTTCTCGACGACTGTTTCCACTACTTCAATAGCCTCAATTTCCTGTGTATCTTCGGTTACAGGAACGTCGTCCACCAC